AAACTTATATAGACCTTCATCTTTATAATTTTGATACAGTCTTAAAAATTCAGCTCTCTTCGCAGCAATATGAGACTGTTCCATCAGTCCTCGTCTTGGATCATCTTTGAGCCATTTGAAACCAATGTCATTCAGTACAGTACTGAGTGACGCACGACATCCACTAAACAGTTTTTTTTCCTTTAGTTGAATCGATAGAGAGTCCAAAGTCACATGTTCTTCTGAAAAGAATTAAATTTGATGGGTTTAGGTACAAAATTTAAAGCCAATGCCTTTAAGGGCATCCAAACTCCCATTTAACAACAATGTTAACATTATATCACATATCCCCCAGATGTATTGTTTAGTTCTGCGTAGGTTTTTGTAAAGAGTAAGAAACATTTATTTAAAAATACAAAAAAAACTCAAAAAAGTTTAGATTTTATTTTACTTGTTTTTGTAGATGTTTCAATAAAATTTTACCAGGAATTTGATATTATCTATCTACGACCACTGTAAAATTTGGATCTTTTATCATCTAAGGATACAGAGATATTTGAAAAAACAAATAATTTTATAACCATGGATATTTTCTACTATAATGTGTGATATATAGTATAAAGAGAAGATTTCAGAAAATAATTTTCAACCATAATTCAAAAAAAAAACAAGACATTGAATTTTCGGACTGACTGCCCTTAAACCATTCATTGTGTGCCGAAAGTTCCTGAAATCTTCTACGTTTATTTTAATACGTTTCATATGCGCAAAGAAAAGAAAAAAATTCATTCAAAAGAAATTTCTTGTGTGTTGTTATTTACTTTCGGCCTACGGTGATAATGTAGTTTTTCGTTCTGGATTTAAATTTTTCAAAAATAGTTTTCTCAGGATTCGAAAAAAATGAATGCATTTAAAAAATGTTCATCTGAAATTTTGCGCCTGCGCTCTTAATACACTTTATGATATCTAACGAAAAGTATACTTACTTCGTTCATACATACTGTAAATTGTATTACGAATTTCGATTGTATTTATTAAATTAGTATTTGTAACTGTCTTAGACCTGGTACGTTTTTTGGGCGGTGATATAAGTGTATTAGTTTTTATGGCCTGAGAAATAGAACTCACAGTTGAAACATGTAAATTTAAAGCTGCAGCTACACGCTAAAACAAGAATGTATATTTTAAGCAACTACAATAATATACAAAACATACATTTACATACTTCTCTAACAGCAGTCACGGGTAGAATGGGGCCGTTGTTATCACGTTCCTGTTCAAAATAATGAATCAAAGAAGCTACCATCTCTTTACAACGATTATTTAAATTCCTACGTGGCATTTTTGAAATAAAACACAACAATTTTGTTCTAAAAAGAACAGATTTTATTAAATAGTTAAAAATATAAAATAAGAGATATTCACTTTAAAATTCAAAATAATAAAGTAGAAAAAGTGTCAACACCGCAACTGTCAAATAAGTGTTACCAATTTATGCCAAAATTTTACCTTCGTTCTATTACAGTTACAGTGTGTTCCGAACAAATGTTCTTGATAAAAACGCTTTATAATGGATTTATACAAATTAAATAAAACATATTATTGTGTATTTCTTTAAGTTAACATTAATAGAAATTTTTAAATATTATTTCTACACGTATATAATAAAATATGTCTAATGGCTGTAATGCCAGTGTACTCGGTAAAGTGATTCTAAAAAAGAACACACCTATCGCATAAATATCTCGTGTTGGTATCATATGACGTCATAGGCTATGACGCCGATGACGGAAGTCGTTATATAAATTAGATGAAGTGTATATAGTCTCACCATATAAATAAGAGGGTTGAAGTATTCATAATTAAATTGATGAAATGGTAGATGAAAGAATGAAGTATGTCTAGTTCCATGAAGAGTGTTAAGACCCAATTGATTTAAAAGTTCAGAGCAATTTATCAAATTATTAGAAATTTTGTAAAGGAATATTAGGCAAAAATAATCTTCGCCAATTCATAGAAACCATTTTCAAGTGATCAGCTATCATACTATAACTGTATGGGACAGAGAGGTCATGAAAAGCACTACTGCAAAGATAGTGTTTACCAAATTTATACTGAACATGATCAAGCTTGTCTATAGATGTTTGATAGTAAGGTCCCCATACAATTATTGCATGTCACCCATAAGACCAATGTTAAAACAACAGAGAGCTTTTGGGTGGTGTTAGTCGATATGTTATATTAAAAATTATATTACAGCAATTCTTATATAAGTAAGAGCTACCACATATGAAAATGTATAACAAACGCGTAAATGCATAACAAACCTAAAATACCACATATCAAATAAAATTATAATTCTAGTACCACATAAGTGACCTATAATACACCAAAGCTTATCTTTAGAACTTTTATTATTACAAACAATAAAAAGCAAGTATGTTATAAATGAATATGCAATAAAACTATTTAAAATGTATGCCACAAAGGAAAAAATTAGTTTTTTCTCTCTCTTGAAAAATGTTACATTTGCTCATAAGTGGTATTGGAATGTAGGTAGCCACATGCAATTTTCCTTGTACTCATATGCGGATTCTTAGTGATATTAAGGATTGTATTTAAGTAATTTTCTTCATTTACAATAATTTTTGTTCAATTTGATTTTTCATAATTTAGGTAATTATGAAAATTATGAAATTTCAAAATATTCTCTTAGTTCTCGTCTGTCTGGGAATTACTGATGATAAATTCTTGTTACTAATATCACATTTTTGGTATACTCTCCAGGCACAAAAATTATGTCACTAAATTCCTTGTTTAAAAATTAATGTTAGTAATAGTAACAAATCAACAGGAACTATAAAACTAGGTACAATATTATGTTTTTATTAATATTTTATACACCAACAATCCTAACTACTTAGGTATTTTGATATCTGATCCAATACTAACAAATTAGGGAGCAGTCTGGAATATTAAGTATTTTTTTTTTTTTTTTGAAAAATTTGTTGTGATTGAATATTTTCTCTATTAAACTGACAAAATTTCACCTAATTTTTGTTGCAATTAAGGTTTGGTTCAAAAAATCACGAATAACTCAGTTAATAACAAATAAAGTATCATAAAATAACATTTCATTACAATACTAAAATACAGCAGGTTCTATTTAAGAAAACTCAGAAAATACTCATTCGAGTTTTGACCCACACTCTATATCAAAATGAAATATGTTGCTATGTTAATAATGCTAGACAATTATAAACTATATTAAAAATCTTTTGAACATAAATATAAGTTTTAATATCAAATCTCCACAATTCTACAGGGTGTTAATTTTGCTAAGAAATTCATAGAGAAAACGTATTTATCTTTTAAATTACCTCATATAACACTGCCAAACAATATATATATATAAAAAAAACGAGAATATCGAGAAGAGTCCAAAAAATGTAAAAATATAGAGGGTGTTTCATTAAAAAAAGAAAAGTTTGTTCCTCTCCATTAATACAGGTGGCCTTGTATATTTGAAAAAAAAATAGAGTATGGTCCTATTATAGACATATAATACAAGATATACTGACTGGTGCAAAACAGTTGTGTTCCCCAGTGTGAGAGAGAAAACTGAAGCAAACTTTCTCTTTCAAATGGGCTGGTTTATCAACCACATTATCTTCTCATTGGTTATTTAGGTCACATAGTCAATAAACTTAGCAAATTAGAAAGAGATGCAGAAACTACTTTGTATCAGTTTTCTCAGTCGCATTGTGGGAAAGGTGGTATTGCAATGATCTGTCTATCTTTTATTATATATGTATGGTCCTATATGTGCTCTAACTTTAATCTATATTTTTTTCCTATCTCTTACGACAAATTTGTAATTGAACTTCCTTGTACTAATGCCGCACCCTGTATTTGGCTGAAAGACTTTGATCAATGGCCTATTAGTACATAGTATCAATAAAATATGTCTCTCTCCACTAATATACATTTTATATTCACTCATTAACTCTATACATAGACTAAAACTTACTTTTTTTGGTGGAAAATAATTTTGATGTATTCCTACTTCCACAATGTTTCTTATGACATATCTCAGTTGAAGCTCCTATTTGTAATTTGACATCTTTATCCGAGTCTAATTTTTCCGTATTAATACTTTTAAATTGAGTTTCACGCACATGGTTTACTTCTAAATTATGTTCAAGTTCTTTTTTGATTTCTGTCTTAACTTCTTGCATTGTAATAACGGGAATAATGCATGGGAATTGATTACTTATTTCACATTGTAAATGTTCCTCTATTTTAATATCGTTAGAACAATATGAGTCTGATAGAGAATCATCTGTGTAATTACTTTTAAACATGCATTCTTCTGGTTCTGATTTAATTTGTAGATTAACATGTTGCTCTAGAGAATTTGCATCTTTGTGAGATATTAAAACATTCTGTTTTATTTTTATAGAATCTATGCTTATCTCCATTTTGAATCTATACTTATCTCCATTTTGAATTTAAACGTATCTTTAAATAATTGTTCCAATGTGTTAAATAAAATAAATATATTGTCAATAAATCAAACAATTTATTCCTATTGTTTGTTTTGTTGCCGTTTTGCCGTAAAGAATGAAGATATGACAAATGACAATGACGAAATGACTTATTTGACAGTTCAAAACTGACTGACGGATACACAAATATTCAGACACATCAGTCCCGTCACCGAACCGGTCCTGTTTTGTCACAGAAATTGCACAGAACTATTATCTGACAGCTGGGAAACTGTTCGTCGCCTGGTGAATGTGAATGCCGGCGCCATAATATTTCTATAGAATATTTTGTATGGCGGATTGTTCGGTTCGGCGCCAGGACTGTGACGAGACGTGACTGATGTGTCTGAATCGACCTTTAGCAATTCGATTCGATAAAAACATAAAAAGAAGAAGGAAGAAGTTATATTTTAACAGGAAAGTAAACTAAGAAGAAGAAGAAGAACTAATGTTAACCTAAGATTTTATTTTTATTTTGATGTTTGGAGCAGTTTGAGTAAATAAGATTCTAAAATTGCTTATATGAAAATACAGAAGGAGCAAAATTAAACTGCTATGTAATATGCAATATATATTAAACGAATATGGATGCCTGGAATTTAAAATGTTTACCATATCCAGCAATTTCTACATTTAAAGCTGTGAACAATGATCTAGGTATGAGACTATTTATGTTATTAATAATATAAAAAGAGGATAGTTTGCAAGTATGAAATTATTCTTTATGTTATCCATTTATGCAACTATCAGGTAAACCTAAAGTAAAAGCCATATAAGAAGACGGGGTAGTAATTAGGCGATGATCAGTGGGCATCAAACAATTTTTAAAATTTAATTCCAATCACTTGAAAAGTAAGTTATTTAATTTCATATATTTTTTGGGGTCAGTAAGAATGTTTATTTTGTTCTGTTAAAATCAAATGAAATGAATACAATGTTTATATATAATTCTTTAAATTTTTTGTAAATTTTCTTCTCTTCTTATGATCACAAAATGTAGAGTAAAATAATAATAGGACATGTTGAATTTGACACAAGAGCTGAAAGGCTGTCTGTAAATTACTTACTGGATTATATACATCTTTTTCTGCCCAGTTACTGGCACCTCAGGTGCCTCAGTCAGTGACTGAATTAAATATGATTTTACAAGGAAACTCATATAATTTGCTGTGCAAAGGTGATGCTACCACTATAAGACTTAATTCTTACAAATTAATTTTTTCCAGTCATTATCAGGGATGTCAATCAAAGGATAATACATGTTCATAACATTACAGTATTTACTAACTGACAATGGCTCTGAAAAAAAGTATACTACAAATCAAATGGCTGCAGCACTTCTAGTTGTTCGAAAAGGAAGGTCAGTTGCTGCTGCTTATCCAACCTTAACAAAAATTAAGAAGAAAAGATTTTGGTACAGTGGATGCTAGAACTTTCTAGAATTAATTACCCACTTAAGAAACGAAACTTGGATGGATTTTGAGGCGAAATTTTTGAAATATTTTTGGGGAAAAACAAAACAGGTGGAACTTAATAATGAATTACAAAATGGAAAGTTCTATGAAAGGAAAGGATTATCAGGAGAAGAGGTACACTCTACAAATTTATAACAATGCAGAACATCTGGAATGCAATTATTCACAAGGACAATTGATGGAGTTGATAGCGTGTCATTTTTATGAAACCATAGAAGATCATGTGATGTTACATAACTATCATGATATAGACAGCCTATGCCCATGCACTCTTAAGAGCCACACAAGATCTAGAGGAGTATGCCAGAATTGTCACCAACATCCACTAATTGGATATGGCACCATAAGAAGAAGAGATGCCAATCTCTTACAGGTGCAGGAAGCAGGAGCAGAGAAGTCAGATAGGAATCAAGCAACACCACATACGAATAGATTCCAAAATAACAACTATTTCAATAGATCACAAGGTCAATTTAATAACTTAGGACAGAACCGATTCAGAGACAATCCTGAACACCATAGAAAAATAGAAATGGTAACACATACAATCACAACTCACCAATAGCAAATGGAGCAAACACGGAAAATTGTCACAACAATAATAGGAGTGGGCAATACCGTAACAACAGAGATGACTAAAATAGTTTTGGAAATAGTAGACCACAAAGAAGAGAGGTAAATCATATAACAACGGAACACAATGAATATGAAGAAAATGCTGAAATGATAATATACCAGTAGACAACAGATCTCAGGGTTCGTCTTTTCACAAAGGCGCCCACTAAATAAGAATCACAGCAAACCCGGAATTTTTTTGTCATCAATGCGAATTTATTAAATTAATGGAAAATAGAGTAAAACATCAAAGATTGAATTTAGTTTTGGTTGATGGTTTTATTAAAGGCAAAAATGTACATGTACTTATTGATACAGGATCAGAAATTTCGTTTAAATAAACATTTAGTAGATGGATTGAATTTAAATCAGTTTATGTATAAAATTCCGATTGTTACCCTTATGGGCGCTAATAATATGAAATTAACGGTTATTATTCAGGGCATAGGACTGAAAGTTAAATTTGAAAATAATTACTATTTTATGCAATTTGTTCTGATGGACAATATGAAATATGATATGGTTGTGGGAGCTGACAAATTGGAGGATAAAAAAGGCTAACATAAATTTTGCTAAAAATATGTTCAAATAGACTAATAAGAATAGAATAAAAGGAAAACTGTTGGAGGATAACAAAGACAACAAAAGGCAAGAAAGCATGAACCTACTAAAAGTACAGGAAAAGGAATTTGATATGAGTGTGGTATCCGAAAATATTGACACAAGTGAAAAGCCTCGACATTATGAAAATGAGAATGTTGAACAAGACGATTTGGAAGAAATAGAGAACTTTCAAATCTAATATGTAAATGAAGAAAGAGAGGAAATGGTGATTTTCGATGAAATAGAAGGGGAAAAGTATTGTGAAATGAATGTGTGCGATCAGTCTGATAAACAAGAGGTAGAAATAACATGTGGGGAAGGAATGAATGAAGAAATAAGGAATTTATTGTCAATTTATCAAGAATTGATAAATGAAGAGCGCAGATGGTCTTACTAAAGATGAAAATTTCATGAAGGAAATCCAGAGAATCCTACAAGTAGGAATCAATAGATTGATCGATATGATATTTAATGAGAGAAGTCATGCGAGATCAACAAAATTTGGATAAAACAGAACGAAGAAGGCTAGAAAGAGAAAATGAGATTTATATTAAGAGATTTGAAGGAAGGGAAGCAGGAAACTCTGGTTGGTGTTCAGGGAAAATTATATTAGTAAAGGTCACTATAAAATATATCAAAAGGTTTATTTTACCTCTGCATATACACGCCTTAATACACCTGTATGCATAACATGTTGCATACCATTAAGACAGGTTTATTGTATTGCATCCATTAATACGACTTTAAGAACACCTAATTACATTTTATTCATACTGTTTTTTCTTTCTGTTCTCTATGTATCAGAGTTAAAACACACCATTCAAAGATGTCATAAACAAAGTTTTACTATCTATACTCAAATTTTAAAAATTTTAGAATGTATTTTGTCCATTAGTTTATATTTATG